AATTCTTTAGTCTCAGGCAGACAATTCCAACAAGGACAAAAGGCAGCAAAACCCCAGTCTCTGGTACCAACTTCTGCCTTAGGCTTTCTGTTGCTATGAGGAGACACCATGACCATGGCAACTCTTATAAAGGAAAACATTTCATTGAGGTGGTGGCTTATAGTTTGGAGATTCAGTCCATTATCATCAAGGCAGCATGCAGGTAGACATGGTGCAGGCTACGTATTGATCATAAGGCAAAAGGAAGTGGACTGTCACACTGGGTATGACTTGAGCATTTATGAGACCTCAGAGCCCACCCCCACAGGGACACACTTCCTCCCACAAGGCTATACCTACTTTAACAAGGCGACACCTCCTAATAGTGCCACTCCCTATAAACTTATGGGGACCAATTACATTTAAACTACCACAGTCACCCACTGATCTATCCATTGGAGCCTTGTGGGTACAATGAAGTGAAAACAATAATTGCTTCTACCAGAATCCACCAGTGTCCAGCAGGTGAGCTGAGTGGTCCTAGCATTTTCCTGGCTCTTACATGCTTTCTGCCCACTCCTCCTCAATGTTCCTAACCACAGAGGCATTGATTGGTATAGGTGCCTTGTCTAGGGCGGACCACTGAACTGCCAAGCGCTCTCAGTACCTTAGCAGTCTGAGGTATTTACCATAGTTCATTGCAAAGGGAAGGTGACTGAAGACTAGGTGTAGCATTTGTCTAAGGGTATAAATTTGACTATTAGGAAAGCAGTTCATTATCTTGTCCCTTCAGCTAAATGCTGTGGTTAAGTTCCCTCCTAGGGCCTAAGATCAATACACAAGGCATACACACAAATTTTTAGATATAGATTGTTGGTATGGGAAAACACACAGCATTTGCCTTTCTGAGTCTGGCTTATTTCAGTTAGTGAGTTGGTCTTTAGCTCTATTCATCTTCAACAACAACAACAACAACAAAAGAATGTCACAACTTCGTCTTTCTTTATGGCTGAAAAAATTCCATTGAGTATAAGTACCGGTGTTGTCATTTTTCAGTGAGGGCTTTCCTTGGGGAAAGGTCTTCATGGTGAGTCCAAAGGCTTACATTAGTTTCCTATCAATGCTGCAAAGCTATGACTGTCTTGATGGATTAACCCCCACACGGGGATTATTTTACAGCTAGATGAGTCACAAGTCTGACACATCTCACTGCATCCATTTCCAGCAGGGGCCGCTGGGTGAGGCAATGTGCAGCCCTCTGAGGGCCAGCCTAATTCTAAGGCAGCCACCCATCTTGTTCCAGACGCACCTGCCTCCTTGGCCTCGCAAGCCACAGTTTGCTCTGAGCCGTACTTGTGTGGCGCCTCCCAGCTGGGACTAGTTACAGGGGGGAAGAACTGGGCAAGGATCGCTCCCCTTCCCCAGAGGCAGCTAGGTCTCCTAGGCCTGCTTCTAGGGCTTCAGTCAACACTGCAGAGGAGAAGGCTGCAGGCAAGAGAAGGAGCACAAGGACCAGACAGACTGGGACCAGTTCCAGAAGGTTCCAGAGGGCTGTGACTCAGTCAGCTGGAGGCACAGCCTGTTATATTTAACACAGTGTTCTGGGGTTCAAATGGTCAGCAGCTCAAGGAGAGGATGGAGGACATTGGAGGTTGAACCTGTTTTCTCAGCTTGGAGCCAGATCGTCTATGACAGGTGTTACATAACTAGCTTGGAGGATGGGAATGTGTGATGCTAAGGCTATGGGCCCCTGGTATTTTTTAAAAACCTTTTTAAAAAAAAAAAAAAGAAAAGCCAGGGAGATAATCAACTAACAGCTACCTCAGATGCACAGCCACATCAGCAAGAGTGCGTTGCTGGTTCTTAAAGGCAGTTTTTCAGTAGCAATTCCTCTTCCTACACCTGAACACACACACACACACACACACACACACACACACACACGAGAGAGAGAGAGAGAGACAGAGACAGAGACAGAGACAAAAACAGAAACAGAAACAGAAACAGAGAGAGAACAGGAGTCGGGGTAGGGTGGGGGACTGAAAGCTTGGGTTGAGTCCTAGAGCAAGGATCCATCTGTTTAATCTCTACTGTTGACTACAGACACGGTGCTTCAGGTTCCTGCCTTGACTCCCAGGGAATCATGGGCCATGAGCTGAAATGGTAAGCCAAATAAGCCCTCTCTCCCCTAAGCTGTCCTTTGCCAAGACATTTTATCACACAAGAGAAATAAAGTTGGGCATTAACAGATGACAATATATAATCCACCCTGTAGGATAATCTTGAAGCCCGTTCTCTATTCATATATACTCTAGATGCTTTTCTGTGAGAAGTCAGAGTCAAGTTCTCAAGTTATTCATCAGGAAAGGAAATCTAGACCACAACCTGGACTGAACAAACATGGTGGTGGTTACTGGAATACACATTTTAGATTTAAGAAAGATGACCAGTCTATTGAATGGTGTACTGCTGGAATCATAGTTATAATGAATCCTTCTATGAGTTTCAGTTATTTTTCAGTCATCATTGTCCATCATCTTTGTCATCATCATCATCATTGTCATCATCATCATTGTCATCTCTAGTATTGGGGATTTATGCAAGCATTTTACCATTGGCCATATTTCTATCCCCTGAGTTTTTAAATTATGTTTAATTCTTTTTTAATTAAAATGTTTTTTTCAAGACAGGGTTTCTCTGTGTATCCTGGACAGTCCTAAAACTCACTCTGTAGACCAGGATGACCTCAAACTCACAGAGATCCACCAGTCTCTGCCTCTCAAGTGCTGGGATTAGAGGCGTGCCCCACCACACCTGGTTTATACTTAATTATTTTGACACATGGTTTTCTTTTCTTTCTTTCTTTCTTTCTTTCTTTCTTTCTTTCTTTCTTTCTTTCTTTCTTTCCTTCCTTCCTTCCTTTCTTTCTTTCTTTCCTTCCTTCCTTCCTTCCTTCCTTCCTTTCTTTTTCTCTTTTGAGACAGGGTTTCTCTGTATTGTTTTGGAGCCTGTCCTGGAACTCGCTCTGTAAACCAGGCTGGCCTCAAACTCACAGAGAACTGCCTTCCTCTGCTCCTGAGTGCTGGCATTAAAGGTGTGCACCACCACTGCCCGACAGTGCCACCACCGCACGGTGACACATAATTTTCTTTATTGATTGTGGCAAGTTCTGTGTAACAAGACTGGCCTGGGATTCTCAATGCCCTGTCTTCATGTCCAGAGTGCTGGGATTACACGTGTGTGCCACACCACACCTGGCTTTGGTTCATGGTTCTAGTAGGGAACCAACTCATTTGGATTAGGACCAGCACGGCTTATGAAGGCTTCTCTCTGTTCCTTTGATAAATGCACCCTCAGAGGAGACCATATATTGAGTTCTCAGATGATGAGCCTGCTCTCTCCCCATCTCACAGGTCTCCCTGGAGGTTCAGGGTCTATAAACCCTGAGATGAGAATTCTGCTTCCTACAAGTAGGGAGAGATGCCAATATCAGCAAGGCTGGTGGAAATATGACAAATGCCGGTGACCAAGAACAACCAGCTCTTGGTGTCAGAAGAGAATCATGCGAGCTAGGTTTAAATCAGAGAACTCCCTCTGTATCTCAAGAGCTGTGAGTAACAGATGGTGACAGACCCCACAGCCTCGTAGATGCCACGCTTAACTCTTACCTGTTAAATGACCGCAATAATTCCACAGAAGTAGTCAGAACCTCTGCCGGTAAACAGGACTTAGAGATGTGAAGTCGAGTGAGGATGACGCCGTTTCCAGTCAGGAGAGATGCATGGAAAAGGTGAGTAGAACCTTTGAACCTTTGAGTAGGAGGCTGGAGAGATGCCTCAGTAGTTACGCACGCCTTTAATCCCAGCACTCGGGAGGCAGAGGCAGGCGATCTCTGTGAGTTTGAGACCAGCCTGGTCTACAAGAGCGAGTTCCAGGACAGCCTCCAGAGCCACAGAGAAACCCTGCCTCGAAAAACAAAAAAAAGCAAGCAAGCAAACAACACCAACAAAAAAAGAACACTAGCTGCTCTTCCTGAGCACCTGGGTTCAATTCCCAGCACCCACATGGCAGCTCATGGCTGTCTGTAACTTCAATTCCAGGGGATCTGACACCTTTACACCAATGCACATAAAATAAAGTTAAATAAATAAATAAACTTACAGAATAGAAACACAATCTGTGGAGGTGCCTTCCAACCTTAGAATTCTATGCTCTTAGTGGGACATACACTTCGTACGGAAGTGACTTGAGAATTTTTAGGATGTATGTTTGTGTGTGATCATGTGTGTGTGTGTGTGTGTGTGTGTGTGTGTGTGCTGTCTGTGTCTGTGCATGAGCGTGCTATAGCGTGCACACGAGACGAATGCCAGAGGACTTGTGGGACTTGTTTTGTTCCTCCCATTATGTGGATCCCAGGATCAAACTCAGCTCACAAAGCTTGGTGCTGCCTTTACTGGCTGCTGAGCTGTCTTGGTGGCTCATTATTTTTCCCTGCGCTTTCCACTTACACTTCTCTCTATCCTCTTTTCCCATTCTGACAGATATTGAGCACACTTTATTTTTTTGGCAAGAGTTGTGGTGGCGGTCTGGCATTTGAGATAACATGCTGTTCTTCCTGGTTGTCAAACCTTTATACGAAGCTTACTAAGGTTACACTCCTCTGAAGGAAACCTGGAAGGATTAAAAGCGAAAACAACTGTCCCTTAGTACATTGGCACCTGAAGTAGGACACTTAGATCTGATCTTGGTTTAAGATTAATATTCTGCTGTCTCGTCAGCCTGAGGGGACAGAGGACCCTATCCTTGGAAGACAGAAGACGTCTTTTTCTTGGGCAGGAGTCCCTAAGTGGTTACAGGCCTCAAGTTTTTGGACCTCTTCTGCCCCCTTGTGGAAAAGCTAAGAATAGCAACTGAAGATTTCAAAATGCCATGTAAGAATTGGTTGAGGGTTAGTGAGCCGGTGAGACTAGGTAGGGTTCCCAGGAAACAGTCACACCGTTAATGATGCAAAGACACTCTCCTCTTTTTCACGACTTTATTTTTTTGCTCCAGATGAATGGTTTTCAGCGAGAATATGGCCACCTAAGACACGGGTGTCTTCCACCAGTGTCCCCGAGCAGCTCCCTTGGGGTGTCATGTCGGTCCTCCCACACTTCTCTTCCTGGAGTTGTGGCTCTCGCACCACTCCGTCCCCGACTCCTTTTCTGCAACCTGTACATCTTCCTTCACAGTTCTGCTGCCGCATCCCTGACACCCCCCCAGCACTGCTCAGGTCCTGCACAGCTGCGGTGCTTTTGTTTGGAAAGTGAGAGAGGGGAACACTTGAACACAATGAGGGGAAGGGATTCTGAGTCGTCGGGCACGCCCTGCTGGAATCTGGTGCTGTCTTCATCACAGAGTCATCTTACAGCCCAGCTGCTTCCTTCCCGGGTCAACAGGCCCCACCTGCCACACTGCCCAACCTGGCTCTCCGTCCCCTTCCACAAAGAGTCACAGTGGCCTTGGGGCCCTCCCCGCTCCTGCCACTGGGGTAGGAAGGGTTGTGTATGGCCTTTCTAACTACCTGCCTCCTGGGTCTCCTCTTCCCAGCCGGGAGCCAGGAAACCACGCAGGAACCTGGCCTGATTCCCCTCCCATCATGCCTCTAGACCCTGCCGCAGCCTCCGGTCCAGGGCTAGAAGCTGCCTCAAGAAGCCCCGGTTGGGGATGATGCCACGGTGATCCTTGACTTTTTTGATGGCCTCCACAAGGGTGAAGCGGTGGTACAGCATGAGGTAGGCCAGCACCAGGGTGGCCGATCTGCTCACTCCTACAGCACAGTGAACCAGGATCTTCCCTGTGAAGGGGCAGACAAAGGGACATCTGAGAGATTGCCTGGTGAAGGCCTGGAGAGTCGGAAAGAGGCCAGCACGGCCAAGTGAAGAGACCGAGTTGGGTCAAGGGACACTGAGGTTGGAATGGGCGAGGATGAGTGGTGTTTAGAATGTAGATCCCGTGCTGTGTGATGACTCCGTGCAGAAAGGCATTTTCCATACAAGCCTGGAGACTTGAGTTCCAGCCTCAGAACTCATGGAAAGGTCAGAGAGACCTGACTCCACAGTGTAGACTCCTGATTTACACCCACACCCACACACACACACACACACACACACACACACACACACACACACACACACACGGGCACACACACACACACACACACTCAGTAGCAGAGCTTGTGCTCAGCATGAGCAAGGACCAGGGTTCAATCCGCAGCACTTCTAACAAGTAATGACGGCCTCTGGCTAAGGGGAGAGGTCTGGGCAGAATAGAATGGAGAAGGAATTCTGAAGCTTGGTGTCCATGAACTGAGTGACACTCAGGGGGACAGTCTCAGTCCTGCTGTCCATCGGAGCTTTGAACAGAGCAGGGTCTCCACTGACACTGGCTGGGCGCATCAACAGGAATCCTTCCGTGTTGAATTTACCTTGTCTTAGGTCTTCCCTAACCCTTCTTTTTGTGTGCCTGTGTATGGTATGGTGGATATATGTGCTCAGGGTGTGTGTGCATTTGTGTGTGTGTGTGTGTGTGTGTGAGAGAGAGAGAGAGAGAGAGAGAGAGAGAGCGCATGTATGCACGTGTAGATGGTAATATACAGGTGTGAGTGTGATTGTGGAGGCCAGAAGTTAATGTTGGGTGTTTCCTTAGCTGTTCTCCATTGTATTTATTTATTTATCTTTGACATAGGCTCTCTGGTTGAAGGTAAAGTTTGCAGGATAGGGCTAGACAGGCGGGCCAGCAAACCCCAAGGAGTTTCCTAAGTTTGCCTCCCTAGTGCTAAGAGATAGTGCCCTTGTATGGTGCGTTCTTTACCACCTGAACCATCCTCTCAACTCCTCCCTAATGCCTTTGTTGCTTTGATATTTGAGACTGGGTCTTGCTATGTTGATCAGGCTAAGCTCAAGCTTATGTTCAAACAGGGCCCCTGCCTTAGCCTCCGGAGTAGTTGGGACTATGGGCACACCCTACTTCTCCTTCCTTTTCTCCTTCCAGTGCTGTTTCTCGAAAACACTGACTATATTTTTATTTGCATATATGGTTGTTTCTTTTTCTTTTTCTTTTTTTTTTTTGGTTTTTACGAGACAGGGTTTCTCTGTATTGTTTCGGAGGCTATCGGTCCAGCCTGGCCTCAAACTCACAGAGATCCGCCTGCCTCTGCCTCCCGAGTGCTGGGATTAAAGGCGTGCGCCACCACTGCCCGGCTGGTTGTTTCTTGATATTCAGTGTGGACTGAGTCCCAGAAAACCTCCCTATTACTAACACCTGTGGCTGGTCAGTTCCCACATATAAAATGATACAGCATTTGCATAAACCCCTGCACACCCTGGTACAGTTTTGATCATCCCTGGATTATTTATATTCACTAACACAATGTGAATTCTCTGTAAATACTTGTTATGGTAGATTGTCCATGGAATAATACTTCCACCCCCAAATATTTTCTATCTGTGGTTGGTTGAATCCAATGATACAGAACCCGGCAATACAGAGGGCCAACTGCATTTTTTCCCTGATAACTAGAGCATTTAAAAACCATACTTAGTGTTTTTTAACGACAGGAAAGTATGGGAAATAGGGTTAAAAGTATAAAAGTTACGACCTCTTCATAACCTCAGTATCTAGGAGTAGCTTTTACTTTAAATGACGCCCTTATCACCTTTCAAACTACTGCCTTGAAAAAGATGATGGAGAGAGCATTTTCTTCCCTCAGCACCTAAGTTAGCTCTTTAGATCCTAAGCAGTCTGTCTTACTGCTAAGTCTTTGCTCCACGGTTGCATCCTGCAGCTTCTGAATGCCACGCCCCCTTTCCTTTCTGCTTTCTTTCCTACCTCCTGGCTGGCTCAGCGCCCGATGGATGAAGTCGGCGGCTGTCTGAAAGTGGATACTCATGTCAAAGGCGGGTGAGTCATGGGCCTCCACACCCAGGTAGCGGATGCCTAGTCCCTGGTAGGCCTCAGGGGTGCCTCTCCACCTGCTGTGCGAGGCATTGAGGACGTGGGTGATGCCCAGGCGACGAAGCTCACGGCGGTTGTTGGCCATATCCCTGCGTTAAAGAGAAGTTAGAAGGGGGTCGGGGAGGCCAAGATGCAAAGAAAAGTCATCCTAGATGCTGTTGTTGGCTGTGGGCATCCACTGTATTTACTAACGGCCCAGGACAGATGGCAGAGTGGGGTCTCAGCTTGTGAGCAGCGTTTGAGGGGTCTGGGAATGATCGTACTGGGGAAGAGAACTCTAAGGGCGTGGGGTTAAGATGACTGTAATCAAATACTGGGAGTGCTCGGAGGAAGTGGAATTTTCCTTGATCTGTAGGGCTCTAAAGGGCGGAACCAGGACGAAAGGATCCAGAAAGCCAATTTTGATTTCACACGAGGGTAGCAAGTGTCTATTAAGAGAGATCGAGAGCTGGCGAGAGGGTAAAGCACTTCAGGGAAGTCATTTTCCTGACTCCACGGTGTCCAGGCAGAGAGAAGTCCTCAGTGGACAGCCCGGGAACTGTGGAGGGGTGTGTCCATCAGGAGGGTTTGTGGGACCTGCTGCTATTTCAGGTCATAGCTAGGGCTATGGATGTAATTTCCTGGTAGGATGTGTTCTTACTTAGTTTGTTCAGTATTCTGGATTCAGTTCCCAGGGCCAATAAATGAGTGCAGGGACTGGAGAGATGGCTCAGTGGTTAAGAGCACTGGCTGTTCTTCCAGGGGTCCCATGTTCAATTCCCAGCTCCCACATGGCAGCTCACAAATGTCTATAATATGTAGTTCCATGGGATCCAATGCCCTCTTCTGGGGTTCAGACAGACTTACATGCAGACAGAACACCCATATACATAAAATGCACAAATAAATAAATGCATTAATTAATAAATAGGTCCCTGGTAATCTCTGGATTATGGGTCTGATATTCATTCCCCAACCCTCTACTGCTATATAAATTCTCCTTGACACCTGGTATCTCTTACGCTAGGGCACTTATTTACTGTGATCTGTAGTCACCTTCAGACATTCATCTGGTCCTACTCTAGCAGCTTAGTGGAAGAAACCACTGACAAGAAGGTCAGACTCTGGCATAGACAGACCATCTAGTGAAAACTCCCTACCTAGAAAGTCCATCAAACCCAATACACAAACTGCTGGCACTCCCGCTTCGAGGATGTGTGACCTTGGTGCAAATACAACTTTGCTGAGCTCCCCTCTCCTCATCTGTAACCCAGGGCGAGTGACCCCTTACCTCACAGAGATGCTTCGAGGACTAAGAAAGTGCTGTGCCAAAACCGAAAAACCAAACCTCACATATTAAGGAATGAATCCCCTTCGACAGCTCTCTCTTCATTACCTTTGACTGCAGTGGCTTCTCTTGGTCTCCCCTTCAGCTTTTGTTTGTTTATTTTGTTTTTGTTTTTTGTTTTGTTTTTCGAGGCAGGGTTTCTCTGTATTGTTTTGGAGCCTATCCTGGAACTTGCTCTGTAGACAAGGCTGGTCTCGAACTCACAGAGATCCTCCTGCCTCTGCCTCCCGAGTGCTGGGATTAAGGGCATCTGCCACCAACGCCCTGCTTCCCCTTCAGCTTTTTGCCTACTGTTCCTATCTTAGTGACTACCTTTTCTCAAAACCACGGCCCAATTGCTGGAAGGTCAGAACACTAGTCTGTAGTGTTGGCACTTCATACAAGCTCAACCAAGTACCATAATTTCCAAAACAGAGTTTCTCTGTCCAGAGTTGAGTATTTTAATAATTCCTCCCAAATCCCCCAAACCCTCCGGCTTCTACTCTTTATTCACGGATCTGTTCCCTTCAATCTTCAACCTGGAAACGGCAAAGTGAGTCACTGTCTGCCTGCCACTTTTCTCCTTGGACACACATGTACATACTCGGGCATGGTCCCCCCCCCCCCAGGGCCATCCATTACATACTGGTCTCCGAGGTAGAGGCCTGGCCAGACCTCGTCGCCATGGTTACAGGCTGTCTTGCCTGTGTAGAGGAGCCTCTCCAGCTCAAAGACGTTGAGGAAGGGATGGTGGGCCGTGGGCATCTCCTCCAGGGTCCCTCTAGTACGAACAGGGGATCGTGAGCTGCTGCGGGAGAAGCGGGCCATAAAAGTCATGGAGGCCCAGAGCCAGTTCCCAGGGCACATCTTCAAGGCGGCAGGAACCGTGTCCGCTGCAGGGTGGCTTGAGTGATGGTGGGCTCAGTCACCAGGTAGCTGCTGCCGGAAGCAAAGTGGTGTCGCGCATATTTGAGTGAGTTCAGAAACTGGGTCCTGCAGAGTAAGCCCTTAAGCAATAGAAGGCAAGGCTAGTCTAAGAGCTGAACCTCTCAGCTGCCCCTGTGCCTGTGGCTCACTCCACTAAGCTCTGGCTGTGGCACCCAAGGAGGTGGGAGTCACATGTCCTTGTTTACGGGAAGAAGGAGTTGCCCAGCTGCTGTTTCTCCTGCCCTACCCCCACTGCCAACAAACACAGAAACGCACACACATACATTAGACACTCCGGGGCTTCTACACACTGCTGGGACACTTGCCAGCCCAAATCTGGGTCTCATCTGGCTGGGGTTATAGGCAGGGCGTTCGGGGAGCCGGGATGGGGATAGGAGCGGTTGTAGAGCCATCTAAAGAGGATAACCAGGAAGATAACAGCAGCTGGGACCATGACATATGCCAGACATGCCTCCTGGGTGCCAGCGAGATGAAGCTTAACCCATCCCTGCCCTGCACGTCGCCAAGATAAGCTTGTCACCGGGAAGGCTATCGGGAGGGTGAGCGTGGGGACTGATGAAAAGAGGGAAAGTGAGTTTGCTGAATGGAAGAGCTGATGGAAGAAGGCTTCCAGTCTGTGCACACGAGCCTGTGAGTGGGAGCAGTGAGCCTTTGACTAAACCTCATCCCTAAGGAGAGAGGAGTCTGAGTCAAAGCAGGGTTGGAGCTTTGCGTCCGTCCGCGTCTTGTGGGGGTGGGGCAGAAGTGGGAGAAGCAAGGGGAGGGGGCTAAGAGATCCCACGGGCGCAGGGGCAGCTGAGAGTTCCAGAAATGTCGTCTTTGTTGCCGTTGACACCGAGGGAACCCGGACAGTACATGGAGCAGGGAGAGCAATGAGGGGCCTAGCAGCTTTGTCTCAGAGTACCTGTAGAGAGAGAGCCCTTGGGAAAGTGGGCTCTTGAGCTTGCTTTTGAGGCTTGCCCTACGACATCTGGGCAGACAGATGACCATGGGAGACCCCCCCCCCCTTGCCTTCACCTCCAGGTGTGGTCCTGCATTTTTGCAGGGGCAGGCGAACCTGCAGAATTCCATCCCATCCTCTTTGCTGCTGTCTGCCTTAGGGACCTCAACTGAATGTCCAGCAATAAGAAGCCATCTTGGCCCATGGCCATATGTTCAGTGATCCCATCCTACACACCCAGGCAGGCCTAGCTCTCTCTTCTCCCAGGGTCAAGAGATACCAGTCTCTCAGAAGACACCACAAACAAGGGCAGTGGGATTGCACCTAGTGAAGGACCAGTCCATATTCAGGAGCTCAGGGACAGGTAGGTATTCAAAGGCTGGGTTAGAAGTCGCACAGAAATCTAGCACTACAATTGACATCACCACCACCACCACCACCACCACCACCACCACCACCACCACCCCATCCCCAGCACTTACCTCTCCTCCTGGGGCTCAAAAACCCATCCTTTCTCCCCAGCAGCCTTCCTCAGAACAGACTCTGCTGCCTTAGTGATGATGAAAGGTAAGGAGCTGGAAGGAAAGCCCGAAAGCCGAGCAGGGAGCAGCTGTCCTCAGGACTTCTCCTCCTGGCGTGGTGGAGCCGGGCTCAGTCCGGAAAACACCCCAGGGCCTTCTCCAATGCCATTAACCCGCCACCAGAGGCTCTGGACCCTGCCCCCCTCCCTCCGGCTGCTGTCGCGGTAGTAACAGGTTCCTGGCTGTCACCTTAGCCCGGTGACTACCCAGACAGCCTGGCGCTGAGGAGAAGCGAGACGCAGAGAGGCGCGTGGCAATGCCCCTATGTCCCTGTCCCGCTCCTATCCCTGTCCCCTCGCCCACACGTCTCTACCTCCTGGTCGCGAGGGTCTCAGATCCCGAGGTGGCCTGCGGGCTCCCGCAGTCCGGCGCCCATGGCTCCCGCGCGGCCCCCGCCGCTGCGCCGCCGCCCTGGCGCGCAGGTGGATCGCAGCTATTTTTAAGCCATGACACGCACATGGAAGCAAGTTCCTATCGGTGTGCGCCCTGGTGACACCCAGGGACACCGTCTCGCGCAGCGGTTGGAGCCGCCACACCGCAGCGACACAGCCCGCCCCTGTTTACAGCCCCGCGCAGCCCCGCAGCCCCGCAGCCCCGCCTCGTCTGCTCGCCAGGGCTACTGCCCGGCAGGCCAATGGCAAAGCCTTGTGCAAGCCTTCTCAGGCAGGGTCTCCACACTGCTCGCTCTTCCCAGACAGAATTAATGAATTACACACAGGGCCTGCTCCCCTCATTTGCACACTCACTCTAGAGAACAATCCTCAGCCACCCTTACTGTTAATGGCGTTTGCCATATGCTAAACGCTTCACCTGTCTTAAGCGGGTTTTATACTCATCAGAGATATAGGAGGTGGATATGTTCACCTGCATTTTACAAAGGAAGAGACCGAAGCACAGAGAGGCTAAGCCCAGGTCACCAGCTAGGTATTGGTAGAGCTGAGCTTCACAGGATGGCAGCGAGACCCTGAAGTCTATGCCATGACCTGTCCCAGCTGAGCTTCCCACACAAGGAGTACGCATCTTGCATCTTGCGGCTCTTTCAAAACGCTATTTCGGCATGTTCAACACACCGTGCATTCTATTCACCCCTGAAGGAATTAATCTTCATTTCTTTCTCACAAGCTGTCTTTTAGTGGTTTTACCAGCACTTGCTTCTCTGTAGTCAGCACTAAGATCTGAAACATTCAGAGTCAAGGTCGGGGTTACCTTTCCTAAATGTCTCCCTCACTGCTTGTCTTAGGGTTTCTGTTACTGAGATGAAACACCATGACCAAAAGACAAGTTGGGGAGGAAAGGGTTTATTTGGCCTTATGCTTTCACAGTTCTACGTACAGTTCATCACTGAAAGGAAGTCAGGACAGGAACTCAAACAGGGCCGGATCCTAGAGGCGGGAGCTGATGCAGTCCATGGAGGGTGCTCCCCACGGCTTGATCTGCCTGCTTTCTTATAGAACCCAGGACCAGCCCAGGGACAGCACCACCCGCAATGGGCTGAGCCCTCCAGCATCAATCACTGATTAAGAAAACGTCTTCGCACTTGGCCTGTAGCCCAATCTTATGGAGGATTATTCTCTTTTAAGGTTCCCTCCTGTCAGATGACTTTACCCTGTGTCAAGCTGACACGGAACCACCTAGCACACTGCGGGCAGGGACCCATAATGAGGAACAAGGATGAATGCGAACACATGTACCATTGAGAAGCAGGCAGGAGCCAGGTAAGCAGGGGCAGGGCAGGTATGAAGGCAGGGTGAACCGTGCTTGAGGCTAAGAGTTGGAACATCCCCAGGTGTGAGAGTAGTTGAGACTGTATCCGAGGCCAAAGGAAGAAGCATCAGCCACAACACCAACCACCCCAAGTCTTGGGGACAGTTGGGCACCTCCCTAGGCTGCCCTTTGACCCTGTAGGCAGTGTATGTCCTGCCCGTTTCTTCTCTAAAGAAGCCGGCTTCCATTCCAACGTCCCCCATCTCTTCTTGTCCCCCTTTGTCATGGCGTTTTTCATAGAGATGAAATCTTCATCGTCTGGAATTACTAACCTCAAAAGTCTGAGATTTTAATTATTAGGCCCAGGAAAACTTTCCAAGAGTTACCATGAAATACGTTGTGAAATAGCACTTAATTTTGGGAGGTGGAGGCAAGAATATCATGAGTTTAAGGCTAGCCTCAGGTACATAATGAGGTTAGCCTGGGCTACATGAGGCCTTGCCAAAAAAAAAAAAAAAAGATGGCCTAGGGATGTAGGCCAGTTGGTAGAGTGTTTGCCTGGCATGAATATAATCCTAGCATTCAGTAGGATTAGAAGTTAAAGGGTTTTTTTTTTTTGACTCCATCGTAAGTTAGCTGTTTGTGGTTAGCTGTTCTCAATTTTGTTGCTGTTTCTTGTTCTCATACAGGGTCTTGCTTTGTAGCCTAGGCTGCCCTTGAACCTCCAAGCTTCCAGTCCCATCCTCCCAAGTGTGGGATTACAGGTGTATGCCACCATGTCTGACTCCCTTTCTCCAGTTTTTATTTATTTATTTACTTGTTTTTTTTTTACAAGATTTCTGCTTCAACCTTGCATTGCACTGTCCTCTGACATAGGATTTAAGTACAGCATGGATAACCAGGGCATCTGATGCTACAAGTCACTGGAGAAGCTCTTCATGGAGCAGCATCTTGATGAAGATGGTTCTCATGAGTCAAGCCAGGTGCTTTGGTGGTTTCTGTGTAAGTAGAAGGTCTGTGATGCTTTTGGGTAACAGCAATCTATAGGAAGAGTGGAGAGGAGGAAGGGAAGGGGAGGGCTATCGAGGAAAGAAGAGGGAGAAGGTGGGATGAGGAAAGAGAATCAGGAAAGAGAAGCAGCAAGAATTATGTCAGTCCCCTGGGCTTCACATATGTCAATTCACTTAACCCCACCCCCATTTTATATTTTTGGTTGTGAGCCTAGCCTTTAACGGCTGAGCCATCTCTCCAGCCCCCACCCCCATTTTAACCAGGTATAGTCTGCAGTGAATACTCCAGGAGTTTGATATTGACTGTGCCAAATAACCCACTCGCAGCTAGTTGGAGCCAGAGCACAGGCTCATCTTACTTAAAACTGTATTTCTTCAAGATTAAATGGAAGAACTACTTTTTATTTCTAATGGTTTTTCGGATCTGCTCTATTCCTGACTTCCTTGGTTCATGTATATTTCTATTAAAGGACCTAGGTCTACTTCATGTGCTTAAACCCCTGTTCCTTACTTATAGTGCAGGCTGTGAGTATATGAACAGAACAGAGGTGAAACAGAGGTTATTGGGAAAGGGATGGGGGCTGGTGTTGGCTCAGTCGGGAGTGGTGGCACACACTTGTGTGGTGGAGGTGGGAGGGTGAGGAAGAAGTCTGAGATAGTTCTAGGCTTTATTGTAAGTCTTATCTTAGACTGGGCTGTGAGGCCCTGTGTTAAAAAGAAATCCCTGTACTTGCAGGGGCAGTGGTGGCGCACAACTTTAATTCCAACACTCAGAAGGCAGAGGCAGGCAGATCTCTGACTTTGAGGCCAGTCTGGTCTACAGAGTGAGTTCCAGGACAACCAGTGCTACACAGAGAAACCTTGTCTTGAAAAACCAAACCAAACCAAACCAAACCAAACCAAACCAACCAACCAGCCAACCAACCAAACAAAACAACACCCCCCCCCAGTACTTGAATAGATAAATAGGGAGCAGATTTTTAAAAGGTTCTTGAAATAAATGATCTGCCTACCTGCATACTTAAACATTATATACAGAGGGAGGCCAATAAGAGTAGATTATTAACCGTCCCCCCCCCCACACATAAAGGCAGATAACAGTATATATTAAATAGTAATTATTACTGCAGTTGTCTGACTATAGGTGCATCTTAACATACACTAGTTAATTTAATCTCTTTAATTCTGTTTTACAATCAAGGAAACGGGTCCTAATCTGTGGTCATAAGCCTTTTTGAAAAGGCCATGAGCTAAGTGGGATTTGAGCGTGGACTTGATAAACCCAGGGTCATTTTAAACTAAAATCAGTCTCAAACCATTGTATTAACAGAAAACAGAACAACAATAGTTAACTGTGTCCAGCAATACTGTGCTGTGCTTTCAGCAAACTTCAAATTTCTCTTAAGAAATTAAAGGTTTTCATCATTCTCCAGCCTCTAGGCTGGTCTCTTCTGGGCGTGGCTCCCCAGTGACCTGATCTGTGGCGCGTGGTGGAATCTCTGCCTACGGGCCCCCAGCTATGCCTTTAAATCCCGCCCATCGGTTGAAGTCTGAAATGACCACAGACAGGTTGAAAGGGCACATTCACCTAAAAAGTCAAAGTTGGTTTTGCATCACCCTTTCCTTTTCCTTCTTTCTCAGCTTTTCCTGTGCATTTTTTCTCCTCCTCCCTGTTGATCTCCCGAAGATTAAACACATCTTACTACCAAGGATATTGACCTTCTGAAGACCAAACACTAGTGCAAAGAGCATTCCATGCTAGCACGCCTTTGTAGGAAAGACTCATGTGCCTCTAGTAGAAATCAACCAGGATTATTGTTTGCATATACAACAGCATATAAGGACCTGAAATAAACCAACTTCAGCATTAAGTAAAGTATGTATAATAAACATTTTGGAAAACGTGGAAAGTGTGCCAAATATAGAAAGGGGGTAAAGTCTAGCCATAGTGGAGTTAACAGATGTAATTGTATCTTGTTTCTTCGAATTACAATCACCAAATTCAGTCTACAGTTTGTAGCTAGTTTTAATTGTCAGTTTTATAAAGTAGCTCGAAACTGCCTTAGTAGCTTTATATGTGGTCAATTTTAATAAACGAGTCATACATGCTTGAAAAGAATATATGTGTGTGCATATACATATAAAATCGAATCTCTTTTTGGATTTCTATCATATCTTCCATCTGAGAATTCAGAACACTATGGGTCTTTTTTATCTTTGGTTGGGAGATTATTACCCACCTAGAGGTCTTGGTCAGCTGTTTTTTTCTGCCAGTTAAATCAAGAGACAGGAAAAAATCTCAGACACAGCAAGTAGTCATCCGTTCTCAACCTGTGGGTTGTGACCCCTTTGGGGGTTGAGTGACCCTTTCACAGGGGTTACCCAAGACCATCAGAAATATCAGATATCTACATTACCATTCATAGCAGTAGCAAAATTGCAGTTATAAAGTAGCAACAAAAATAATTTTATGGTTGTGGGTAACCACAACACAAGGGCCACAGCATTAGGTAGGCTGAGAACCACTGCAATAAGCAATGTTACAGGTAAGCACACACACACACACACACACACACACACACACACACACACACACACACACACACACAGAGCAAAGCACGGGGAGGGGCACACAAAGAGAACATTTCTCCCCTGGATGGCTCAGGGTTTTAAATGTTTTTGATGTCCTGGGATGATTCCCCTCCCCTTGTTTTGGAATGGTCAACTTAAACAAAGAAACAGCTGTTAGGGCCACAGTTTCAGGTATACATTTTAAAGACCAGCCCTCTTTTTTTTTTTTTTTTTTTTTTCCCGAGACAGGGTTTCTCTGTGGCTTTGTTGGAGGCTGTCCTGGAACTAGCTCTTGTAGACCAGGCTGGTCTCAAACTCACAGAGATCCACCTGCCTCTGCCTCCCAAGTGCTGGGATTAAAGGCGTGCGCCACCACTGCCTGACCAGCCCTGAACTTATTTGATCATCTGTAAAGTGGGAGAACCTATTGGTGGAAACAAAAGCCTGCCAGGCCTTTATCTCAGATCAGGAAGGAGAGGAAGAAGCTGGACATTTGAGATTTTTTTATTATCTATTGCCCTGCCCGTGGAGTCAGTCAACAGGAACCCTGGGGGAGGGAGTGAGAATGGGGGGACAAGAGACTCGAGAGACGGAGACAAGACAGGATTCTGATCAAGTCTCGTTTATTGAAAGTACCAACAGGGCTTAAGTAAGGCAGGTAGCAGAAGGGCTGGGGCACAGAAGTTTTCCTTGGCAGGGTGTGTTCCAAGGACACAAGTCTGCAGCTGGGGGAGTCTGGACTGCAGGCCAAGTGGCAGAAGGGTGTGAGAGCCTGGACTGCAGGCCTTGAAAATATGCTGTACAGGAAGATAAGCAGACACAGAGAAATAGAAATGTAACTGTTAGCCTCTAAGAATATAGTAGGAATATTAAGATGGCTTCTATTATGCTATTCTTATTTAGGGCCTTCCACAATCTATGGCCCATTTTCCTGTCGGTCTGTCTGTCCGTCCGTCCATCTGTCATCTGTGGGGGGGTGTCTGTCTAGCTCTTAGCATCTCATTAGAACTAAACTATGTTATGAAATACATGAAGTTCACATGAGTTATTTACTTTGATATTCAAAGAAATTTCAGGTAACAGTATGGGCTTCTGAATATTATGTTATAAAAGTGATTGATTTTTTTTTCATTTTGGGTCTCTCTGTTTCTCCCCGTCCTCTAGGAAAAGCTGGCTTTGGCAACCTCTGGGCAATCACACGGGCCTCTATCAGATGGTGTGAAAAGTCTTCTTCATATGACTACAGAAGAGCAAAGACAAGAACCTGAGCCATCTGCTTTCACAAAGCTCTGCCACTGAGAACCCAACCATCCATCCACACAGCCCTTTGTCTTAATTAGTATAACATTTCCATTCCAGGAGACTCTCCTGGAAGAAAAGACATCATCTTGCTTTTCTCGTTGAGAACGTATCTAATAACCCAGCCATGTTAGACAGCATCAGCTTAGAGTTTGCCTGAGACACTTTGAACTTAACATCTCAAAATTCCTACCTGGCTATTTTCACAGATCCTTGACCGTTGGTCTCAGTCCTCTAGAGTTGGTCAAGGATGCACACAGAGGGACCCATCTTACAGGAGGCTTCCAGTTCAAGAAATGTGACTTTGACAGAACTTCCTGACAGTTCTTGACCTCTCCTTATTACCTACCCTTACCTTGTGCTATGGCTAAAGTACATTTGACTCTCCTTCCAACTCACAGAGCAGTTTAAGTCCCAAAGTTTTATGTTAATGGAAAGGGGGGAACTTAATTCCGCTGTGGTGTTCAGAGGTGGGGCCTCTAAGAAGTGACTATAAGGACACAGAGGTAGAACTATTATGACTGGATCTTGGAGGCTTTCTGAGGAAAAGGGAGGAACACACTTTCTAACATGGTGTGGTGCAGCTAATGTGGCCTCCTTACCAGAGGGGCACCCATGAGTGTTTGATTCTTTCACTTCCAGAACTGTGCACAAAAATAATCCTCTGATATTTTATTATAGTAATAACAAGCTGAACAAAACACTTAACATTTATTTAAGCAGTAAATTCAGTTTTGTTTTATTTACAGATTGTGATGAAATATGTGAAGTTTATGCTATGGTGTCTTGGGATCGTTATCAATGAGATTTGGTTAAGATGAAGATTTCTAAGTGACCTAGAAACCACTTCCTTGCAGCCACTGGAGGGCTTTACAACTTACTGTGGACACTCATAAAGTGTTGGGCACTAACTTTTTGGCACTGAACTCCTTAAATGCAATGTTTTTCTTCCTTAAGAAACTGATTGATGCCAGGTGGTGGTGGCACATTCCTTTAATCCCAGCACTTGTGAGTTCAAGGCACCTTGGTCTACAAAGCTAGCTCCAGAACAACCAGGGGTACACAGAAAACCCCTGTTTTGAACCCCCCCAAAAGAAAAGGAACTGATTGCTTATAGAATCGATTTTAAAAACCTGCTTTATCTAGGTATGGTAGTCCTTTAATCCTGGTACCTAGGAAGCAGAGGCAAGTGATTTTCTGTGAGTTTGTGGCTGGTGTCAACATAGTGAGTGAGTTCTATTACAGCCAGGGTTATATATAGAGAGTCCGCCTCAAAACAACAACAACAAAAATATTTTATGTGTGCAAGTGCTCTGTTTGCATGTTTGTATGTACACTGTGTGTGCAGTGCCCTTGGAGGTCAGAAGAACCTATAATGTCAGTCTTGGGAAGTAAACAAGAGCAGCAAGTATTCTTTACCATTGAGCTATTCCATCATCTCCTAGAAATAGATTACATTTTTAAAAATTTTATTTGTGTAAGTGTTTTGCTTTCATGAATGTTTGTACACCATGTTCATGCCTGATGCCACTGGAGGTTAAAAGAGGGTGTTGAATCCCATGGAACTGGAATTATGATGATTATTATCATAACTATAATGACTATGAGTTACGTGGGTGCTGGGAATCAGACATGGGTCCTTTGGAAGAGTGGTCATTGCTCTTAACTTTGGAGTCAGCACTAGAATTACATTGTAAAAACAAACCTTAGTTTCGATGGAAGTTGACTTGCCTAGTAGTCATGTAACACTGGTATTTGCCCTGGCCTGTTCCTGGTCCTTTCCTCATTCAAATTTTACAGACGAGTTCATTGGGGAATATTATGTGTCCTAAAATGAGCCTACACTTGCCCAGAATGCTGAGTTAAGCCTACACTTGCCCGGAATGCTGAGTTAAGTTTCTTCCCAGACCAAGAGTCTGGGGACAATTTTTTTCCAAGTCACTTATGTTATGAAACCCTTAAGAAGAATGCCCACTCTCATGTCTTGTTCCAACTCTAAGACTCTAGTTCTTGAAACTTTTGGACTTCTCAGCCAGAAGGTCAGAGTCCTGTGTCTAAGAGGCAAAGTGGCATTTGGGATTGTGAGTCCCTGGATGCAGGTGACAGTTTCAACCTGAGTGAAGTGCCTCTGGGCCTCATTTCTGTTGCTTTCATCTATTTATGTTGTAACTCAAATTTGAATGCTCATGTTTTTTAACTGCCATAGTTTCAAGAAAGATATTTTCAAAATAATGTGATAGTCTCTGGATGGTTGATATGAAAATATATAAGTCATCCATGACAGCAAATGTGAGTAGCACTCAGTGGTCTACATTGTTCCTCAGGTGTGTGAAGAAGCACCTAGAAAAAAATTCTGATTCTGAAACCTCTTCCTCAAGCCCAAGTTCAAAGAAAACCTCAATAACAAAACAATATCTTAAGCTTTACAATTTTTCTGTATGAGTCTGTGTGGATATATGCGATAGGGTCAGAGGACAGCCTTAGGAGTTGTTCTTCAGTTTGTCTTTCGAGATGGGGTCTCTCACTGGCTTAGGACTTGCCAAGCAGGCTAGAGTTGGTGGCCAGGGAACCTCAGGGATGCTCCAGTCTCTGCCTGCCTCGTGCGCTCTACCTGTGATCACAGGGTATGCCATCGCATCCAGCCCTTTTCTACTTGCAAGGCAAGCGCTTCACCAAGGGGGTACATCCTTGGCTCCACATTGCTTTGAGATCTCCCCAAACAACCACAAACCTGGCAGCCTTTATTCCACCCTGTGTTCCTCAAATTCCATCTGTCCCAGTTTCTCCCTCTAATCTGTCCCCTTCCCCTCCTGCATGGACAGAAACCCTCGAAGATCAATTGCTCTTAAAATTAAACTGCTCCTTCAACAAGGAAAAGTCTTTATACTTGATTTTGAGCTCTTATCTCACTCTTAGCGGAGAGCTAGTGTCAAAAGCTTTAGAAAATCTACACAGGATAGAGAGAAATTTGTAGAGAAAAAAACTGCTTGAAATGGTGTTTCTAACATGGAAAATTACAGCCCATCTTTCCAGTGTCTGGAGTACTCATTTTACTGGGACCGGTATTAAAGATCTTTTCAAAGCCTGTCATACTTGGATACTCAGTGTCCAATATTCAGAAATATGAAATTCAAAGCAGCAAAATTCTTTGCGACTCCTGCTTTTTATGACCTATGGTATTGTTTTTAATATTAAGATAACTACTTCTGTGCCTTACTAACTTGGAGCGTGAGTTAACAACTGGCTGGCACATAGGTGCCCAAATATACCACCTCCAAGTCTAGACTTTATATGAGAAGACAAGTCAGATATTTTAAAGAAACTCCTGAGATATACCCAGTCCTTCCTCAACAGGTAAGAGTAGTCTTTTCTTCCTAAACAATAGCTGCATGATTTAAAATCTGGAAACCTGTTTTTTTTTTTCAGAAGTAGCAGGATGGTAGCCCTGGAGTTGTGATGGACAAGTCACTCAAGTACAGCAAACACATTAGTGCCACAGTGAGACTCTAAAGGCGATGTGGTCATTTAATAATGATTTCCAGCTTGGCAAGAGGCAAGCCCCTGGGCACAGCAGTGAGGGGTTGCTTAGATCAGGTTAGCCCCTGGACATGTCAATGAGGAATTTTCTTGATTACGTTAATTGAAATGGGAGACCCATCCTAAATGTACACCCTTCCTCCCACAACCCAGCTGTTAGGAAGCACGTGGGGAAACACTTTTGCTTTTCATTTGCTATCATGAATCCTGCTGGTGAGTTCATCTACTTTGTTCCTGCTGCTGCTGCTACCCTCCTCGTCCCTCTTGCTGTCTTATTTTCCTGACATTAGAATTTAGATTGTGTGGTCTTCTACGATGGACCAGAGACCAGTGGTCTTTGGGAACCCTCTATGCTTTCCGCACCCAGCCTCATTTACTGATCAACTGCTGGTCTCTCAGTCTCTCCGGTGGCCATATTGAATTTATGGTACAAAAAAATTATTGACCATTCTCTGTGACCTGGATAGGAACATGCTACATAGGCAATCCATCGCGGCTTCCTGAAGAGTCTCTGTTGCTACCAGGGCCTATTTAGACCTCTTACTTTCTCCACTATGGTAAAGAGATCACTAGATGACTTAAGTCAAGGACAAAAAAAAAAGAGTGAGTCTTGACTCTGCTTTAAGAGCTCTATCTTATGCACATGAGGAGAAGAGTCCAGAAAGGTAAAGAAAACTTAGGAGGCAGCAACCTAGTTAGATCATGCCCATCAGCTGTGGAAGTCCACCGGGAGATGCGAGAACTTGGGCAGGCAATGCTACAGAATCAATGCCTTGGGTTTAATTCTTTTCCTTCGTATGAGATGCTTTTAAAATGGAGGAGTGTGAACTCATATTTCTGCAGACTTCTGGAACACATTCTCAGTAATACAAATAGAGATCTGAGAGACGAAGAAAGTCTTAAGAAAAGTCAGATCACTCAGCTAGGAACACCAAATTTGGTCTTGTAGGCTCTTCAGGTTACTTCCAGTGTGGGCTTGGAGCGAGAAGAGGGGCAGATGTGGGCTTCCTATGGAGGAGGTGGACTGCAACCAGAAACATACTAAAATAATTAGTATGTTTATTTGTGTTGCTATGTTCAGATGTGTGATCTCTGGGGTGTTAAGTGTTGAAGAACAAAGTCATGTAACAGAGAACACAAAAACAATGCAACAGAGAGCCCAACAACAAGAACAAGAAATTCTGATGCTCAGGGAAGTTGCAACAGATAACATCAGATTGTTGGAGGGTAAGTCGTATTTCTCAGGAACTTTCTTTTTGATTTTGTGGTGCTGGAAATTAAGCCTAGGGCTTGTGTGTGCTGGACAAGTACTCTACCACTATATGCCTCACTTCTAAATATGCTTATTTTTGAGACTGGGGCTTATGAGATTACCCACACTGGGCTCAAGCTTCCTTTATTGCTCAGGCAGCTTTGAATTTGCCTCAGCCACCTATGCAGCTGGGTCTGTGCCACTAGGCCAGACCTCGAGAACTTGATATATGACTCTGATAGTTCAACTAGTAGTAAGGATCTGGATGGGTCATAACCTGGATATTGGTGGTTTGTCCTTTAGCTCAGGATAAGGAATGACCAGAAGGGAACAAGAGAACCCAAAGCTACTTACTCCACAGCTTCCTGTGTGCTGGCATGTCTCCACTAGTCCACTGTCCCCATTAACATGACTTCACAATCCCAGGGGCTTGCCCAGATATGTCCCATAGCTTCATTGTTTATTTTAGGAACTCATCAAAGACCCAGCAGCTCTACAAAGCATCAATTTATAGCATGCGTCCAACTCTCTGAATGTCTCATCTCCATTTCCTCGATTTGCTTTTGCCACAAAACTTACACTATTATATCGCAATGACCACAATTCTTAATCAAGTCCTTGCATCGATCCACTTTACCTAAATTTGAAAATTTCAGTAAGTTGGGCCTTGTTCTGCCTTTTTGGGGACACTGTCTACCATGTTAGTATTTACTGTCGCTGTGACAAGGAATGAATTGAGCATCGTGTTTTCATGATTTTTTTTCTGGTGACATCTGGGAAGGCGGCATTCTATTAGCACTAAGAAGAAACCATTAGGCCAAGAAAGAGGGAAAGCAGATTTCATTATTTAAAAAAAATGGGGGGAAATAAACCTCATCAGCAAAATCATGCTAGAAGACATTGAGATAATATCATCCATGGTGCTGAAGAAACATAATTGGGAACCCAAATTTCTAAACTCAGGCAAAATGTCATTTACAAGTCAAGGAAAAGTATACTTTTTTAAAAGACACCCAAACACTTAGCCATTTTCTACCAATAGTCTCTTAGAAAAAGAACTACTAAAGAAGAAGAAAAATAACTGAGAGGGAACTAATAGAGTAAAGAAGAAGCAAGAGTATGCAAAAGGATTGTTTAAAAGATGCTGGGACATTTAAATAAATATTGAGCATAAAAAATTAGAATAGCAATCACTTTCACATAGTTTCAAAAACCAGCTGGCATGCTTAAAGATAGTAGATTAAAAATAAGCATTTTAATTCTGCTTCATTCTAAAACCCTACAAAAAGGAGAATAGATTATGGAATAATAAGACCTAAGACTTACTCGATGAAAAGCACAGGAAATACTTTAAATAATTGTGAACTGTTGGATACTAAAAAGCAGGAGGCAAGTCAAGTCCAACATGCTGACAATCTGATTTTCTCCACAGAACATCCAAAAGGCCAGAGAAATGGCAGCACTAGAGGCCCGTAAGCATGAGGATGCACTAAAGTCCCAGGTCTGACTGCAAAGTCTGCTCAAGCTGAGCCCTCGCCTCTCTTTACCACTCTCCTTCCCACGGGAGCAGCACCTTCCTCGAAGAAGGACACCTTGACTGGGGCAAAGCCAGGGATATCTGAGCACCTTGGGACGTTCTAAAAATAGAGCTGGTTAGTCAGAAGGTCTCATCTCGGTG